AGTTCACATTTTTAAAACTAAGTTCAGTCATCATACATTTCACAGCTGTCTTCTTTTCTCACTGGTCAGACGTCAGCAGTTCTTTGGCTGTTTACCTCCTGTTCTTGGGTTTCCATTTCATGCACTTATCTAGATTTGAATTTGGTGCCAGACACTGTCCCTGTTGAAAGCTAAAAACACACACACTTTATTATTTGGTTCAAAGCTGCTGCAGTTTTTCAGAGGGATTTATTGTGTAGATCTTGTCAAAGCAGTACTGTTTATCCACCATCTGTGTACAGAGGTACATAGCACAGTGTGGCTGGGACTACAGGGCCAACATTGTGTTAAGTAAGCCCAGTGATATAAATATGGGGGTGTTTATAAAGCTTTTATAAAAAAATGATTAATCCAATAGCATTTGAAGACTATTTTAGAATAATTATTGTTTTTCACATTTGCAGATTTCAAAGGATTTTTGATCAGGATGTAAACCAAGAGATCATTTTTGAAAACATTGCCAAACCAGTTGCTGAGAGGTAGGATTACCTATATTTTGTTCAGTGGGTTAGTGGTTTTCATCTTGTCTTCAATTCTCAGATAATTGTGGTCATGTGTTTCAGTGTATCAATTATATGCTCAGGCTGCAGGGCACATAATGATGATAGCATTAATACCTTCTATTCAGATAGCTGTTTGCTTTAGATTTAGATTCTGGGCCTCAAAATACATCAGTGAGACTGACAGAATAGCTCTTATTACCCTCATTTTAAAAGCTCTGCAAATCTCCGAGGATTGGAGAGTTGAATTGACATTGCTCGGGATAACTTGACTAGTGGAGGCAGAATCCTGAACAGTTTTCTGTCAAACAAACCATATGCTCTGCCTTAATACGGCATTTCAGCTCTATGGTTAGATGGGTGAAGGCCAAGTACGGGAGGCCTAGCAATGTTTGAGCCAGCTCTAGCTCAGCATAATGATTACATTTCCAAGCTTGGCCCTTAGCTTCTAGGTCTCTTATGTTTTTATATATCCAGATAGTTCCAGCCTACTAGAACCAAACTCACATAAGAATACAGAGTAGATCAAATGTTGTTTTATTGGTGTATATATATATTGGAAAGACTCCTTGGGACTAAACACTGAAGTTCTTTGATAAGTAGACCTTCCTCTTAAAGGTAATCCATTTGAATATGAATACTGTTTCTGTTCTCTGTGTTCTGGTATCAGTGGGGGAAAGAAGACATGTGCTATGGGCAGGATATTCCCTGAACTTGTCTGCTGCGTATGAGAAGTCTGCTTTTCCTGGATGTTGCTTGCACCGTGGGCTGTGGCCATTGTCACTAACCCAGCTTCCTGCTCAGCAGAACTGCATGGTACCAAAGTAGATAGACAGGTGGGATGAAGGCACAGCTTCCTTAGATTGTTCTCTGATGGAGATAGTTATTAAGCCAATTTATTTGCTAAAGTAAGACCTTAGGGGAACATTTATTATTTTCATTGACTTTTAATATGTTTTTCATTGACTTTTAATATGTTCTATATAGTATGTTCATGTTTTATGCAAACTTGGATGATGTGATGTTGAATTGGTTAAATATAAAATATCGATAAAGTGTGATTTAGAAACAATATCTGAAGTAGTATTTATCCCGATAACTTGAAAATGAATTTTAAGGATTATATAATTTGACAGACTTGCTGCATGGAAATGGCCACTTCAGATGTTAAGCAGAAATGCCTGCTTTTCTCACTAAGGATCAGCCTTCAGAACACATTATCAACAGCCTGTCCAAACAGGCACTTTAAAGCTGTTCTTTTGGGCTAACACATTGTAGCTTAATCCTGGTTACTGTATAAAATTAGAACTAAATAAAATAAGTCATGTTCCTTTCCAAAATTCTGTAACTCACTAATTTTGACTTATCTTTTCCTATTTAATTCAATTCTATGATATGACCACGATTGCAGAGTTGTATGATTGTTGGTAAGAAGTCAGAAAGGTTTAATGCTTTATTATTGCAAATTCAGTAAAAGAAGCTTTGTGGTTATTGATTTAATACATTTCCACTAGCAAGCAGTCCATCATGATAGCTCTTCGGAACTCTGTTCTTTCTGAAATATGGCCAGTGGGTCTTAATAAATGTAAAAACTGCCTTTTTCCATATTCATATTCCTTTTGCTCATTCATTTTGGATTTATTTGAAAACAAAGATAAATATTAGTAGGTCCACAAATGCAGATAGTGTCTGGTACTGCATTATGTATGAGTAGGTATCCTTATTCTGTATTTTACCTGGTGTTATTTCTCTCGAGCTGGAGTGAATTGATCTTGGGAGTTTGTGGTGATGTCAGGCAATACCTGAAGCAACCAGCCAAATATGACACATCATCTTGTGGCAATTTTATGTAAAGATTTGGGGGGGGGAATGCGATTTGCACTTTTCTGAGGACCTGTGCCACGTAGCTGTCAAGCTGTAGAATCCTACTTTGAGGTATAGGACATTTACTTTATGTGTGATGAATGATTTTGGAAAAATGGAAATTTGGTATTATATGTGTATTTATTTTTCAAATTATGTTTATTGAGGTAAGTTGGTTTAGATTGTTGTATCTGCTTTGTGGATCACAGGTTCAAACCTTTTACAAATCTACATTGTCATATCTATGCCCCAGCAATCTTCCCCATGTTCTATTGAGATGGCTCCCCAACCCCCCAATGCTCCTACCTCACCATGGTTCCTTCCTGGATCCTCAGTTTTGTAGTCAGTTATCAGAGACTTGTTATTGGTTGGTTTGGACTCACCCTTTATTTTGTTTCCACATATAAGTGATACCATTAAGTATTTGTCTTTCTCCTCTGACTTACTTCACTTAGCATGATCCTCTCCAGTTCTATCTGTGTCGTTGCAAATGGAAAATTCACTTTTTTGTATTTGAGTAGCATTCCATTTGTGTGGGGGGGATATGTGTACACAACACATTTTTCTGATTCATTCCTCTATCCTTGGCACTTAGGCTGTTTCCATAACTTAGCTATTAGGACTTAAACAATGAACGTAGAACTACATGTGTCTCTTAGAATTAGTGTTTTTGTATTCTTGGGTTGATACCTAAGAGTGGCATTGCCTGGTCAGTCATATGGTAGGTCTATTTTTAATATTTTGTTTTTCACTGAGAAATGAACCATGTTTAATTTAAACATAATCTTGTTTTCCATAGGGACTGGACCAGTCTACCTTCCCTCCAGTAGTATACAAGTACACAAAATATAACGGTGTACTTTCTCTCCATATCCTTACTAATACTTTTTTTCTGGTCTTTTTAATGTAGGTCATTCTCAGGGTGTGATATGGTATTTCTTTGGGGATTTGATTTGCATTTCCCTAATGATAAATGATAATGAGCATTTTTTTTTTTTCAAAGTATCTGTTGGCCATCTGTATGTCTTCTTTGGAGAAGTTTCTATTTAGCTTTTCTGCTCATTTTAAAAATTTTGTTTGTTGAGTTGTATTTTGGATATCAAGCCTTTGCCAGATGTGTTATGTGCAAATATTTTCTCTCATTCAGTCGGGTGTCTTTATTTATTTTTTTTAATTTTTTTTAAGGTTTATTTATTTGCATACAGAGCTGGGGTACAGGCCAGAGGTGCAAGGGTGGTGAGAGGATTCACCAGAGACAGAGTGGGGAGCAGAACAGGCAGATCGACAAAGTACACTGCTGAGGGGAGCAGCGGGCGGGTCAGGAGAGGTCTGCCGCGCCATGTGGTCACCTCCTGGGCAGAGGGGGATAGAACTCATGCAGAAGTGGCTTTAGCTTCTCAGTGCTGTGCTTTAACCCGCTGTGCCACCAAGGAGGGCCGGGGTGTCTTTATTTTACTGATAGTTTCTTTCACTGTTGTTTCTAAGATTTTTTTATTTATTTATGCATACAAGAACTGAATGTAGATCAGAGGTGCAGGAAGGGTAGAGGGAGGAGAGGATTCACCAGAGACAGAATAGGGAGTAGAAAAGGCAGATCTCCTGAAATACACTGCTGAGGGGAGCAGTAGGTGAGACAGGAGAGGTCTGCTGCTCCATGTGGATCACCTCCCTGGCCAAGGATCAAACCCATGGTGCAGTGGCTGGTAATAGCTCTTTGCTAAGATTTAATCTCATGCCATGAGGGAGGTTCTTTTTCACTGTTGGTTTGATGTAATACCATCTGTTTATATTTTGTGTCTCATGCCAATGGAGATGAATCCCCAAAGATGTTTGTGAAGCTAATGTCATTAAATGTTTTACCTATTTTTTAAATGTATTTTATAGTTTGGTTCTCATTTCTATGTCTTTTTAGCAGAACATGGTGATTTGACCACAATGCCTAAGGTGCGCACTGCCAGGGAGACTTGACTGTATTAACACAGACGTCCCCACAGCTGGCACCTGACAGCTAAAGCTCCGAAGTGCTTATAACAATGTCAACCAGGTGGCTTTTGGAAAACTGTTAGCCACTTTGTGAAATTTTACTTTCTAAGCTTTGGGAATTATCAAATACAGTTTTTATTTAGAAGAGGGCAAAGGGGTAAAGAAAGCTCCCAGGGCTACCTGACTGGAAGTGGAAGAGGACATATTAGAATACATTTGTCCCTGTGCTCCAGCTGGTTGGCTACAGGGGATTTGCTCATGGAGCAAATTGCTCATGGAGAGGGTCAATTTCACACTCTCATTTGGGGTAAGGCCAAGGCCCAGCAGAACTTTCACCTGTGACTCTAGGAACAGACCTTGCTGAAGAACTATGACTGATTAGTCTTGCTGCTCAAGTAAAGAAACAATTCGTCACCTTCAAGATAAGGAGACTAGAATGGGAATGATATAGGGCCACCAAAGAGTATTTTTAAAAAATAGATCAAATCCTATTCATACTTTCAATTCATATGGCTGAAAAAATAAAATGCTGTCAAGTGTAAAATAATCTAATTCTGAACAATCCAACTGACTAAGTCAGAAGTGATCGTGAGTCAGACCTACCATTTCTGAATCATTTCTGAGTTCTCTAATTGTCTTTTTATCCTATGGAGATCCTGGAGTTCACCTCTACCCAACAGCATCAGGCTTCCTCTACACTCCTGTGATGTCAATGAGCTGCTTCCAAGTACTCTTTCTCTTCTAGCTCAGGAGGTCACATTTGAGTCTCAGAAAAGATTCAGAAAAGAAACCCCACTATCTCCAGAAAGTAGGCCCTTCCATAAGTGTTAAGAGGGGCAGAGTATGGGCCCTGAAGCTGCATCTTGACCTGGAAGTCACTTGTCCCACTCACACTATCAGAGAAGGACCGCTACATAGTGTTAAGTATGACCTGTCACCTCATAATACGTAACTATCCAGGATGCAGCTTACAGTCATTCATCAAATATGAAATAGAAGAAATAGGGAAGTAACATCATAAGGAGGAAAAGTGAATGAATGCCAGGACATAGATAACACAGGCATTTGAATGATCTGACAAGAGCAAGCAGCCCTCGTAAAAATACTTCAACAAGCAATTATAAGCATGCTTG